GTGAAAACATTGGAAGCATGCCATGGTTAACCCTGAGCAGATAGGCCCACCTTAAAACTCCGTGTTACATTTTACCCTGCGTTACTTTGAGCCCTGTGCTCTCCAATGTACATTTTGAGATTTCTGCTTTTTTGACATTTCAAATGTTTATTTTTCCAGTCTGCTGGAAAAAAAACACAAAAATACACTTTTAGACATAAAATATTGCTTGCTATTTATTCAAACTACTTAGACTATTGAAAATGAGCTGAATCGACACAATTCTTGGGTTTTTTGGGGGACAACTTGACTGTTTTATGTTCAATCCACTTAAATTTGTAAAAACTAATAACTTAATTCCTTTACGATATCCCAACACTAAATCGATTGTGTGGAATCCTATTACTTACTCTGTGTAAGTGTTTTAATTAGCTGGCAGCTAGTTCTCTGCAACTCTCACATGGTCGCCTACTGAAACTAAGCAAGCAGGGCTGAGCCTGGTCAGTAGCTACCTGGATGGGAGACCACATGGGAAAGCTATGGCTGCTGCTGGAAGTGGTGTTAGTGAGACCATCAGGGGGCGCCCAACCTGCGGTCTGTGTGGGTCCTATCACCCTAGTATATTGATAGGTACTGCTCAGTGAGTGCCATCTTTCAGATGAGATGTTAAACTGTGGTCCTGACTCTCTGTGGTCATTAAAAATCCCAGTGTGTCCTTCGAAAAAGAGTAGGGGTTTAACCTGGCCTGGGGTTTAACATTTACCATATATACCTTTAATAACCATCCTGACCAAATTTGCCCACTGGCCTGTGTCTGGCCACTGGCCTTTTACTCAAAGCGCTGTGAAAAAAACGGCCGTTAAATTACAGAACCTTACCATAAAATAATGCATATTAACCGTAAAATTACGGTTATTACTATTTTTTTTATACATTTTTGTAGTGTAGTGTTGGGTTGAAGCTGGAAGGGCATCTGCTGCAAAAAAAAAACATATGCTGGAAAAGTTGGCAGTTCATTCCACTGTGGTGACCCCAGATTAATAAAGAGACTAAGCCGAAAAGAAAGGGAATGACTAAATAATAACAATATTCAGTACATTTTTGTACCAGTGTTAATTGTTGCTGAAATGTAAGACATCTGAACAATACAATAAGACTTGGTGTTGGGGATTTTTCCACAAGTTTCTCACAAAAGTTTGAAGGAATTTGGCTGATTCCTCCAGACAGAATTGGTGTAACTGAGTCAGATTTGCTCGCACAAGCTTTTTCAACTCTGCCCACAAATTTTTTATAGAATTGAGATCAGGGCTTTGTGATGGCCACTCCAAAACATTCACTCTGTTGTCCTTAAAGCACATTTTATTTAATTTGGCAGTATGCTTAGGGTCATGGTTTGTTTGGAAGACCCATTTGTGGCCAAGTTTTAATTTCCTGGCCGATGTCTTGAGATGTTGCTTTCGTATTTCTACATAATGTTCTTTCCTAATGATGCCAACTCAAATGTTGTCAGTTAGCTAATCCGAAACTTCCAAAACCTTGACACCATCATCTGAGCTTTTTCAGAGGCATAATACTCTTATTGTAGGTAAACTTGACTTTCAAGAAAAGTTAAAAAGATTTCTCCAAAAATATCTCTCTCTTTATTCTGCTATTAAGCAGAACAGAAGCAAATGTGATAATCCTAACTCACCCGAAAGAGAAAAAGATTAAGTCACGTTAAAATCTGACTTTAAAAAAAAAAAAAAAAGGTTATGTGCCTTTTTATAGTGTATGTAAACTTCTGGTTTCAACTGTATATTTACTGCCATGTTTGCACATTAAAACTTAGCATTTTTCAAAACTTGTAAAATGCAGTTCTTAATAATGAATCATGGTGATAAATACTTAATTATTTACTCGATTAACCTGCAGTGACTTGCTTCAGTATAAATATAAACAAACGCTAATCTTCAGAATTACACCAAGCAGATTACCGCTGGCCAGTAGCTAATTAATAAATCATCAGTGAATTAATTTCATGAATTATGCATTAATCAGGTCATAGAGAAGCAGTCATTTGTATTTAAATCACTGCTTGCTTACAGTTTCTCATTAGCGGTGTGTTTTGGTGTTGTGACAATGGCTCGTGATAATAGTGACTTGAGTTTTCAGCATCTCTCTGTTGAAAACACTCTCATTCGGTCTCTGTTCAACATTGATTTGCAGACATCTGCCGAATCCACATGGGTCTTGCTAACAGATCAATTATTCATTTTGATATTAGCTACAGTATACTTTATTTATGTTCTTCGATTAATGTGATATACTTAAAGTATGTTATATATGAATTCACACAAATGCTAACTGGATAAACTATAGTGGTTTATTGATTATGATGAAATCTGAATTGCATCGTAACCCCAATGCACAAAGATTCATTCATGAACTATCCTTCAGAACGCGTCTCTCAGATATAACTTTTTTTTAAAAGGAAGAGGAAAATATTTCTTTGTCAGTAGTGATGCACTGTATTTTTTTAAGTAACTTTTATTTAGAAAAGAAGAAATGTACAATATAAATCAGGAAGTAATCTGTAGGAGACTGGAATACAAGTACATACAATTACAAAGTGATAAGAACAATAAGTAACAATAATAGAAAGAGAAAAAAAGAGAACAAAATAAAGAAGTACAGAAGTAAAGAAGTAAACATACACAGAAAGCATTAAAGACTAACTGGAAGCATGATATTTTCAGAAGTTTCAATTAAATTGCAAAACTTTTTGTTGTTCGATAAACGTATAGCTTTAAGCAAGGAATCAATTTCAATTAAAAATGGGCAAATGAAGGAGAGGATTTAAGAAAATTTTCCTAATTTTCCTGAATCAAATATGGGTTGCAATATCAGCAAATTTTGAGATAAATGCATTGACCGGGTATATTTTGAGTAGAATTTTAAAATGGGTTTCCTTTGCTTTGTTTAGGAGTTCATATTTATATGGGAGAAGTCACATTCTTTTCCAATCAATATCTTGTATTTACACGGACAAATATGATTTCCCTCTTGGAGCAATTCGATTTTTTTGTTGGAGAATTAGAAGAATAAGTTTGTTGTTGCATTTCTCATCATAAATACTGATACCTTCTAATAATAAGGAGGGTTCAATGGCTATTTTTAAATGAAATATGAATTTTTGTTAGATATATATATTTTTTGGGAAAGCATTTACAATAATGTTACATTTCTTAAAAGGACTTGGAAATTGATGAATTTTCATCAATTGTTCATAGGATAACAAGTTCCCAAATTCATCAAATAAGGAAAATAAATGTAATATATCTCTGTCGTACCAATTATAAAAAATGAGGATTTATTCTTAACTAGAAGATCAGTGTTGTTCCATAAAAATGTTTTATGTAGAAAAGTTATGGGAATAACATATTTTCCAAGCCAGTAATGTTTGCTGGTAAAAGTTAGTTAATTTTATGAGGAGTTTATTCGGAGCAAAATTACATTTCAAAATTAATGGGAGACCGTCAATTTTATTAAACCAATAATTGGGAATAAAAAATTGAATTTTATTTTTTGAATTTGATTTTTTTTTTAATTGCATAACAAGAACAATAGCATACAAAAAATGAGCAATACAATGTTTACATTTTATATGTAATATGTAAATATTTCACTTTAAAGGAACAAATCATTAGAAAAAAGAAAAAAATTAATACAAATAAAAATAAAATTACAAGGGATATAGACGTTGCAAAAAAAAAAGTATAAGAAAATGATTCCAAAATTGCATACATTCTTATAGCTTTTTTTTCTTTCTTTTGGGGTTCCAATATAATGCTCAAGATTAATTTTAAACAAATGAATATTAGACTTATCATTGGACCATTTTTGTTTGTGTATATGGTACTTCCCATATATTATTATTAAATTAATAAATAAATTTTGCTCCAAGTTTTATTATTGTTGTAAATCAAAAAACACATCTTTACAAGAAAACTAAATTTTTAATTTTGTAAGTTTAAACATTGAATTTCAACTACACTCTAAAAATATTGTTTAGACAAAACAAAACAAAAAAAATTAATTAACGCACCAGTTTGCATTACTATATTCAAGTTACAACAACATCTAACAAAATAAGGTTCAGACAACAAACTTTATTATGTTAGCCAAATCTTTTCCTCCTCAATCAGAGGCATTTTCACATAGCAAAAAACTCAGATTTTTAAGTTGAGTACTCAAAATAAGTTTTTTTAAATTAAAATTGGAAACAAATCCAGTGTTATGTACTTAATTACATGCATGTTTTCAAGTTTAGAACCTCAAATAAATTAAGTAGCTGAAATTGTTGAGTTTTTTGTTTGTTTTCGAATTTACTGTTCATGCTTGTAAGAAATACATTTAACAGCAATGTTTTTGTTAACTGGTATTTTTTTATTTGTATTAAACCACAGGTTTCCTTTTTTTCCTTTTTTTTTTTACAAAACAAAAACATGTTCTGTCCCATATTATCAGTACAAAAATAACAAAAAACATCAGTGTGTGGACTTAAAAATACAAAACAACTCCATTAGTGTGTAAAAATTGAGTTATCAACCCAATTTCGTAGGGTTGCTTTAAGTTAAATATTGTTTTAAAGTAACTGACAGATATATTTATCTTTCAATTAGCCGCATTTTTAAATTGATGTAATTATCAATGTTTATTTGTTTTGAAAACTTAATAAAGTTATTCTGGCTACTCAAAAGTTTTAATCTAATCAGCATATTAGAATTTTTAAGCTACAATAGTGTATTAAACTATGTAGTGGTAACAGACCTCTTGAGTTATTTTCTAGAGTGTTATATTAGGGATGCACTGTATGACAATCAAGGGCGTTTGGTGTTTGCGTAACTCCCACGCTGTCTGCGTAAACCTGAGCGCAGCGAGGACGCGCCGAGCGCAGGGCGCGCTTGATTAAATGACGTCACTGTGTCATGTCGACGGACAGTGTGCGCCATCTTGAATCGAAACCAAATCACGGGCAGATCCCGCTCGCGCCGATCCCGCGCGCCTCCACTCGCTCTCATTCCGCACTCGATCGCACCGTCCGGCCTCCGGAGCTCCAGGATAAGCCGCACTGAAGGCTCGAGGCACAGAAACAGGCGATGATGGCAGGTAAAGGCGCCGCGCGGGGGTTTGTGTTGGTAGGCGGGGGCGCGAGCGGCAGCAGTGCGGCCTAAACATCAAACCAGCCCCCTTAACTGACACCAAATCAAACCCACAGCCACTGCTGTATCTCGCGCGGGGCAGGGCTCGACCTCAGGGTGTTTAAATGCTCGTTGCAGGCCGAGAAGAGCATGCATTTAAATGCACTGGTGTTGTTGTGTTTTTGCAGGGGTTGGTGGAGGCAATGATTTCCAGTGGTGCTTCTCCCAGGTCAAAGGAGCCATAGATGAAGATGTTGCAGAAGGTAAATAACGGGGTACATTTGGGGTTTAAACGTACCTGTGTGAGTTTGCATGAGTGATTAGTGCATTATGGGAGTTTTGGATGGAAAAGCATGCATTGTGGGGTATGATGTGAAGAGATGGAGGCTGAGAGCTTCCATGAAAATGGCAATTGTTTTTATCAGAAAGTGTTTCTGCGGGGTTTTTTTATTTATTATTCAAGTAGTATATGGGTTGAAGACGTTTAACTGATCTTCTTGAGCTTGAAACTTGCATCGTTGTACTGTAAAATGTTTTTGGCTTTCATGTTATCGACTGCATGTGGTCTTAAAACCTAAAATCTGAATAACTAAATCAAACAGTGTCAGGAGTAATGTAGATTTGGAAAGTCACTGTCATAAAACTGCACATTTATGAGCTATTATTGATCTTTCCCCACCGCATACGATGCGTAAAAGTGCTATATCAAATAATAGTTCAGTTTAAAATAAAGTGAATCTTTATTTTAGGTATTTATAAAAAGGGCTGATGACTCATGATGCTCTCAAAGGAGTAGTCCAGTCAAATTCTCTCAAATGAGAGCGTGTCAAAATAATTATGATTGATTATATGAACATTAACTACTGAATGACTAAAATGTAGTAGATTAAATAGATTAAAGTAAATCGAATGATCCTTCGTATTGCACAGATGCATGCGTAAGTAATAAAGTGCATGATTGTGTGAATCCAAAATAAAAGCTTATTGAAGAAAAAAAAAGAATAACTCGATCAAAAATTGCTACGATTTATCAAATGTATTACAATTAATTGTTTCATAGAGATAATATTATAAAAACTGAATGGATCCTTTTCTATGAGCCGATCATGACATGTTTGATGGTCATCAGCATCTTAATCCTTTAAAGTTTTGGATATTTCGATTTTGTTTGGTATATTCAGAGTGGCTTTTTGGCATCTTTTATTGTACATCCCATCCACCAGCTTCCTATCTGAAAGATGTTTAAGCATAGTGGGTCATTCAACTTTGCAATTTGTAATGTTCAGCATGTATTTAGATATTGATGGCTTGCTTCTTTACTTGAAAGCTCAGATTGAGGTTTAATGTATCATTATTATTTACACCTTACAGATTTTCATCTACCTGTACCATTGCACACACTTAGTAACATTTATTTATCAAGTTTAAGAGTCTCTTTAACACTAATGTTTATTATAAAAAGATCAGATATTTATTTAATATTTTTGTTTTTGACTATTTAAACTATTTGCGTTAGTAATGTTGGTAAATTAAAATAAAGTGGTTAAAAAAATTCTAATATTCCTAAATGTATTGTTAAAAATGTTTAATAGTTATCGATACCGAAATGATTTGAACCATGATATCTTGATAACTTTTTTTTTGCAATATCGGCCAGCCCTATTTATAACATCCTCGTTTCGGTAGACACCGTCAAAAGGTTCAGCCCAAATGCTCCTGAGAGACCTAACATACCAATGCTACCCCAGATAGTCATGCAGTGTGAAAACATCTGTGATGCGACTACTTTGAAAATCGTGCTGTCTGAACTCGCAAAAGATTACTTTTATTGTCAACATTTCTCTCAGTTAGATATTCCCATGCAAAACATGCTGGGAACTACAAATGCCTTAAACAGGTAGTTGGATCAACACAATTACTTCATGTCAACTAGTGGTGTAACGGATCACAAATCTCACGGTACGGATCACATTACGTTTTTTTAGTCATTGGACCATTTTTCGGATCAGCTAAAAAGGGGAGGGGACAAATGTCATTTACTTTAAATTTTTTACAAAAACAGCACTGCAATAAACTATTGGTTTTAACAAACGGAACTTAAAAGCTGTAATTTTGCTAAAAATAAAATGAAGAAATAATCAGCTGAATAAGAATAAACTATAAAATATTCAGTACTGCGAGAATTTCACTGTTACTTCTATTGTTGCTGATGTTAAACTCTAACATTATCATTTCTACAACCCACATTTGTTTTTAGTCTCATTTTCATAAGTGATTCAGTTTTTCATTCATAAATCTTCATGTTTCATTGTTAGATGATCATTTTTTGAAGAATTATTCAGTGGCTTATTTTTAATGATGTGTTCACCGATTAGTTAAATAATGTAATTGCTGCTTACAACTTTCATTTTTAAGCGTTGTTAAATGCATACAACGGTGATTTTAATCTTTACCACGAACATCAGGGGTTTTATTTCAACTATAAACTGTTATCCCAGTACTGCTGTGTTATTTGACATTGTAACTTCATGACGAACTCAAAAGACTCTTTCTTGATTTTTGCATTTTTCAAACACAGATTTGCATGCAGCGATTCAAAGGATTAATACTAATTATGCAAATCACCATTATTTATAATTTGTTGCATGGTTGTTGATAATTTTTTAATGATTAATCGTGCAGCTTACACTGAATGCTTTTATGCAGGCTAAACAAGTAGTGACAGAAAAAACATCTTTAATAATCTAAGAATCCCGCCACATCGCAAATAACCTACCACAACTTGTTCTGTCATCTTTATACTGTACAGGAAAGCCTAAACGCTTTCATACATGTGATTTGAATGGAAGGAGAGAGGAAATCTCACTCTGATCGTTACAGATTTAGGATTAATCTACCTTTATAAAAATGCACTAATTCGAGGGTTATGTGTGTGCCGAACTGTGGGTTGTGATCTGTACCAATCTTGTGGAATGCCCCATTTTTAATGTTATCAGACAACAATATTTATCTGGAGAGACTTTAAAGGAAATATTTTTAAATGTGAATCCATCTAAAATTGTACAATTTTTATCAAAAGGAAACCTTAAAAAACTGTTTTAGATTTTTATCTTGTATATATTATTATTATTGTTATTTATGTATTTTACCTTGGACATTATTTATTGCTGTTGATGACTTTTAATTGTTAGAATATTTTTTATAATTATAGAAAATTGGTATTTATAAAACGTGATTAACTTAATCTATTTTCTTTTTGCCATGACTTAGCCATAGAAGCTGAAATGGCAATAAAATTAAATCTCTCTCACGGATCCACTGTGGTCTAACTTCATGGTTTACAAATTTAAGTGGACTAAACATAAAACAAATAAACTGGCAAAAGAAATGACAAGAACTGTGTTGTTTCAGCTCATTATAAACAGGTAATTAAAAACAAGCAGCAGTAATCATTATTTTTGAGTGGAGGAATGCAAAAAATTTATAAATTGTAGTACTCTCCCTTTTACTGTTCTCTAACCATGTTGACATTTGCTGCTGAGAAACGTTGTAATGTAACGGGGCTTTCACACCTAGACTTTTGTTTCGGAACCCGTCTCGTTTTTCCAGTTAGCGTGGTTCGTTTGGCATATGTGAATCCAGCAATCGAGCTCAGATCTGTGCCAAAACAATCGCTCTGAGATCACCTGAATGAGGTGGTCTCGGCTCGATTGAAATGAACTTCGGAGAGGATTGATTGTAGTGAGAAAGCAATACAATCCGAGCCCGGCTATACCACAGTGTAGTATGGATATCTAATAGGCTTATATGGCTATATGAAGAGAGAATGATGAGGAGGGCGAGATGTCATTCCTACTAGGGTTGGGTGATGTTGACCAATTTGGCATCGTATGATGTCTAAAATGAAACATCGCGATTGATGATGTCATCATTGGCGGCAGTGAATTAATTATTGATAATTAATTAATTCATAACGAATTTATTATTTGTTGCCTACCGTTTTGACTACCTGACCCAAATGGTCTTTGTTTTACCCATAACCAAATAAATAAATAAAGATAAGTTACACACATAATTACCACCTGTCAATCACTTTTTCCATGGGACTCGTAAATAGGCGACAGTGCCATAGATCTGTGTCGTTAACCAAAGTTGGTTGGTAAAAAAAGGTGCACAAACAACAGGAACCAGCCAACAGTGACTGAGGTTTTCGCTAAAATTACTAAGTACAAGCGTGAAAGTGAAAGATTGAACCAGTCTACTGACCCGCTGACTGCCTGGACCCGCTGTTTCGAGCGCGTGACAGTGACAGTAAGTGTGTGTGTGTGTGTGTGTGTGTGTGTGTGTGTGTGTGTGTGTGTGTGTGTGTGTGTGTGTGTGTGTGTGTGTGTGTGTGTGTGTATAGGGGGGGTCGCGTGATGTACGCTTTCAGCGGTAGTGTGGAAGGAGGGCTGCTGAGAAATGCTAGGTGAAATGCCAGAGTGGATCGTTTTCGTTCAAAATTCCCTTTAAAAAACTAAGATCTATTGGTGTAAACAGGGCCAGAGTGTGTATTTTTCGCAAGCGGATTTGCAACGGGGGCGGAGGCTGGCTCAGCATCGTGGTGTCTGTCGGCGATAGACGATAGCATCGTCTATCAGCCCAACCCTAATTCCAACCGGTAATTGTGCGTTTCATGTAAAATATAAAAAGTGAAAGCATTTTAACTATTAACGAGAGCTTATTAACGAGTTTATCCGAAAATTGACCGAACAGCAGTAGTTTATCTGTTATTTCTCTCTATAATGTGAAGCCTATAATGCCTAAGCCAACTGCTGTGTATGAGAAAGTCTTACCTCTGCTCTATATTGATTGATGACGTCTGAGGTTGTCTATATTCAAAATGAAAGCGCTTCTTTTTGCTTATAATGTCTTATTGCTCGTCGTCATAAATTAAATTAAGGACGCATGACAGCTAAGCGGGACTCTGCAAAATAAACCCTGAATCTCTGACCAATGTGAGAGGAGTTTACTCCCATGTGATTTGTTCTAGCTATTTTGGTCTATTTAGAAACTTTGCCATGTTAAAGGGAACCGCACCAAAAACAAAAAGCAACATTTGTAACAGTTTTATGCCCGTTTCAGAGCAAATGAATCGATTCAAAGGTGTGAAATCACCCTCAAAACATCCATGTTTTATTTCTACCGTTTCAAAAGATGATGTAATTCAAGCACAATGGCAAAATAAAGTTTAAACTATAACCAGTGCAATGCTTTTGCATGT